AATTCCAGGCAGAGGGCGAAACGTTGGGCAAGTTGCCTTACTCCACCCACACGCCTGATAATAATCGCTCCAAAACCAAAACAATAATAATAAATTGCTCATTTTCAATCCACGGCTGATTGTGTGGGACGCCGCTGTGCGCAATTGGCTGCCGCGTTTCGCCCGCAAAACATACGGTCAATTCACTTTACAGTCTATTCCGCGAAGCGCTTTGAGACGTCTCGGAAGCCGCGATAAGGCGCTGCGCCAAACGCAAGGATTGTTATTGTACACACTCGCTGGCGCGCACACGCCCGCGCGCTCTCGCTCGCGTATGCGCCTGCTCGTGCGTGCCCGCATTGAATTGCGCGCGCCCTCACTTGTGCCCTCGCACGGATCAGGAAACATTCCTCGCTTAACATGTTGCGCATTTTATCGGCCGGTTATTTCTAGCCTTTTATCTTTGCTCCCGCACCCCCCCACCCCCACCCCCCTCTCTCTCTCTCTCTCTCTCCGATTGCTGGTTTAATCTCTGCGTAGCCATGGAATCGACCTTCCAATCGAGTACACGATATTCCTGACATCCCCTCCCAGGCCCCGGAGAGTGATCGAGGGTGACATTTGCTGTTGATTTCTGCTGCAAGGTCATATTTTATTCAGCAATAACAAGAATATCCCTTGAATTTGATACAACGCCTTATCAGGTCGGAGTACCGTGCCTCAGAAAGGGCTTCGCAGGATTTTATGTGGCTCTGAACATGAAATACAGCGACTGTGTATTTGTAGGCAAAAGAAGAAGCCAATTACAGTTAACGGTAATCGCCCAAAAATAGCCACAAAGTGAATGATGAGTTTTATCTGGTGGTGGGGTGGGGGGGGAAGTGGAAAGAAACTCCCCTAACAGTACCGCATAACAATATTGATAATCTTTGGATTTGATATATACGGCGCCTTATCGCGCCTTCGAGACGTCTCAAAGCGCTTCGCAGGATAGACTGTAAAGTGAATTGACTGTGCGTTTTGTGGGCGTAAAGGCGGCAGCCGATCGCGCACAGCAGCGTCCCCGCAAACGGCCGTGGGCCGAGTGACCAATTTTTTTATTTTTTAAAAATTTTTTTTGAAGGATTGTTACTCACCGGAAAAGTGTGTGGGTGTGAAGTGAAGTGAGGAAAGTCGCCCAACGTTTCGCCCCCCCCCGCCCGGGAATCGAACCCGGGTCCTCTCGCTTTGCGGGGCGAGCGCTCAAACCACCGAGCTACATCTCTTCCGAAGAACGGCTCTCTCAATCCACGGCTGTCTGTGGGGAGACGCCGCTGCGCGCAATCGGCTGCCGCCTTTCGCCCACAAAACATACAGTCAACTTACTTTGCAGTGTATTCTGTGAAGCGCTTGGAGACGTGTTTTAATTACATGTGCGCACACACACACACAAACGCACGAACAAACACACATACACGTATGCAGTAATCATCTTTATAATAATCTTTGCATTTGACATAGCGCCTTATCACGTTTCAAATCCCTTCGCAGGGTACACTGAAGGTGTAGTGACTGTGTTTTGACTGGGCAAAAGCCGGCGGCCAATTTACGCACAGCAACGACCCGCAAACAGTCGTGCAGTTTTCGTACAGACCCGCGCGCACCCACCTACACGCCTCCCTCAAGCCGTTTTAAACCCCTCAAGCCCTCATAATAATAACCCTGGCATTTGACGCGGCGGCTTATCACGACTTCGAGACGCCTCGAAGCGCTGTGAAGTGTAGTGACCGTGCATTTTGCGTCGGGTGCGGTCGGTGCTGCTTTGGGTGTACGTGCTTTTCTTGGTCGCTCGTCTTAAAGTTTTCTTTTCAACAAAAAAAAAATAGCTCTCGTACGCCAAGCCAAGCAGGCAATCAATCTAAAGCCGGCCTTGGGCTAAGAGCGTGAGCTGTAATACTTTATATGGGAGCATTACACAGGAGATGTGAGTCTCGCTTCTTTTTTTGGAGGTTGGGAAACCGGTTAATCTTCCAAAGAGGAGCCATGACTCGTTGGGAGGGAGGGAGGGAGGGAGGGAGAGAGAGACGCAGGAGACCGTCTGGAGTGAGACCAACCCTGTAATCTCACTCCAGACGGAGCAGAGTCCTGCGGCTCAGCGGTTAGACCGCCACCCGCCTCGCAAGCGAGAGGACCCCCCCGGTTCGATCCCCGGGCAGGGCAAGAGCGTTGGGAAGGTTTCCTCGCGCCTCCTATGTTTACCCGGCGCTACGTAGGAACCCGGCTGTAAATCGATCGGCCGATCGCTTTTCCAGGAGTGATAACCCCTTCAAAAAAAAACAATAAGAAAAGTTTGATCGCTCCCCACCCGCGCCTGTTTGCGGGGAAACGCCGGTGTGCGCAGTTGGCTGCCGCGTTTCGCCCGCAGAACACACAGTCCGTTCACTTTGCAGTGCATTCTGCGAAGCGCTTTGAGACGTCTCGGAGACGTGATGAGGCGCCGCATCAAATTGCAAGGATTATTATTGTTGTAATATAATTTTTTTTTCTGACCACACTGCACGGAAATGCGCTCACGGCTCAGCTTTGGAGAGAATTGAGAGAGAATTGTGTGTGTGCGTTTGTTTTCTCTGACCCCACCCCCCACGTGTGTGTGTTTGTTTTCTCTGACCCCCCCCACGTGTGTGTGTGTTTGTTTTCTCTGACCCCCCCCACGTGTGTGTGTGTGTGTTTGTTTTCTCTGACCCCCCCCATGTGTGTGTGTGTTTTCTCTGAACCCCCCCACGTGTGTGTGTGTGTCTGTCTGTCTTTCTCTGACGCCCCCCACGTGTGTGTGTGTTTGTTTTCTCTGACCCCCCCCATGTGTGTGTGTGTGTGTGTGTGTGTGTGTCTGTCTTTCTCTGACCCCCCTCCCGCGCGTGTGTGTGTCTCTCTCTGTCCCTGTCTGTGTGCGTGTACGGACGTGTGTCTCTCTTGACTCTCTCCCTCCTGCGTGTTTAGTGCGTGTACGTCACCATTCTTTTTTCTTACTCCCTCTCCCTCTCTCTCCCTCTCTCTCTCGCGCTGCGCTGCGCTCTCTCTTATCTTTGTCCCTGTGTGTATCTCATTCCTGCTGTGTGTGTGTCTCTCTCTATCTCTCGCTGCCAGGACTTTGAGTTCGGGGCGTAGGTTGACACACCCAATGCGGTGGAGGTGGAGGGGGGAGAGAGAGTGAGAGAGAGAGAGAGCGATGCATTGTCGGAAGTGCTGATTTTCGGAGCAGCCATTAAACTCCAGGTCCCGCCTGACCGCCCTCTCGGCTCCTCAGGTGGAACGAACTTTGTGACGTACTTGGAGAACGGAAGTGAATTTCTCCGGGTTTGCTGAACGCCAGATGATGATGATGATGATAATACTAATACTAATACTAATCCTTGCATTTGATACAGCGCCTTATCGGGTCGTCGAGACATCTCAACAACGACAGCAACAACAACATTACATGTGTGTAGCGCCTTTCACGTCGAGAGTCCCAAGGCGCTGGACGGACAGAGTTACGAACCCGAGCTGAGGGTCGGGATGGGGGAGTGGGGAGGGCGGTGGTGCGGGCGGGGGGGGGGGGGGGGGGGCGAGACCGAGGTACTGCATCTTCAAAGACTCAAATCGCTTCACGGAATACACCGTTCAGTGAACGTTTTGTGTGTAGATTTGTGTGCCCGGACGGATTGTATGTTCCGTGGGCGAAAAGGCGGCGGCGGTGGCGGCGGCGTCCCACAAACAGTCGCGAATCGACTGATCAATTTTTTTCCTCGGGGGGAGGGGGAAGGAGGGGTTATTACCCCTGGAAAGCGATCCGCCATTCCACTAACAACCAGGTTCCTGCTCACTGCTGGGTAGACAGAGGCGCGTGAGCGTGGGGGGGGGGTGGTGGGGGCGGGGGGGGGTAAGGAAACGTGCTTAAGGTTTCAAGTGCCCTGGCCCGGGAATCAGACCCAGGTCTCTCGCAGGCGAGGGGAGCGCTCTAACCACTGAGCTACAGGACTCCCGATAAACTGTTTGCTGAGGTTGAGTCAGTTTGTAACTCAGTCGTGTGAAAACTGGCTGCTGCGGTCGCCGACACAGTTCAGACTCGCTTCGAGACGTCGTGTGGTCGCGAGAGGGGGGGGGGGGTCTGCGTCGGAGACGAGGAACGTTGACTTTAAATTGGATCGGTTGGGGAGGCCGGGGGAGAAACGGAAGCGAGGTTAAAGGAGAAGAGAGCCACGTGGGAGGTTAATCTTGCGCTGAATCCGTCAGATAAGGGAGCCAGGACGCTCCGCAAATTCAATTGATGGAAAGAATAAACGGATTAATTCCAGGCACAAAGCAGAAACGAATCGCGTCCGGGAGCACAAACCGACGCACACACGGATGCACGGGAGCGTGACACAGATGTACGCAAACGTACACACACGTGCATATCTACGCACCCAAACACAGTCTCTTTTACCAATCGGTGTGGTGCACCCTGACCAGATAGGGCGCTATTCGAAACGTAATACTAATAGTAATCCTTGCATTTGACACGGCGCCTTGTTACGTCCTCGAGACGTCTCAAAGCGCTTCTCAGAATATACAGTTCAAAATTACATTCGCATTTACACAGCGCCTTTCGCGTCGGGAGGACGTCCCAAGGCGCTGGCCGGACCCGGAGGGTAGGAGGGTGACCGAAGGCGCGGTCGAAGAGGAGGGACTTCAGACTTGCCTCGAGGGAGGCAAGGTGGGGGCGGGGAGCGAACGAGGCGAGGCGAGGCGAGGGGGGGGCTGTGGAACACAGTTCCAAAGGGGGTCGCGAAGAGGCTGAATATAACCACCACCACGACAACAACTTGCGCTTATAAAGCGCCTTCCGCTCAAGGTAGCCTCTCGGAGCGCTTGTATTGCTGAATATAAGTGGAGTGACTGTGTATTTTTCTTTCCGGCTGAAATCTACAGTGAATGGGGATTGACTTGACCAAATTTTCCCCCCCCCCCCCCCGCCCCCACCAATTTTAATTTTAGTGGTAGGTTTGTTACAGATGTAATTTGTTGTCATTGCCGTCGTGCTGTTTGCAGGGTGGTCGGCGGGATTGAAGATCGCCACAGGACCGACCTCCGTGGAGAAAGCCGTGGGCGACAGCGCGAGGCTGGAATGCACGTTCAAACTGGACGCCGGAGACTTCGGGCCCCTGGACATCGAGTGGTCGCAGACACCGCCCGACCCCACCACCACAGAGCAGATTGTGAGTGTCCGTGGAATCACGCGGAGAACATTAACGGCGCAGAAGAAGGAGGTGTATCCTGCCACAGCGCTTTGAGCCGTCTTCCACCGTGTGATGAGGGGGGGGGCTGTGTTCCCCGGGGTAGGACAGGACCGGGCAGGGGGCAAAACGTTGGGCAAGTTTCCTTACTCCACACACACACACACACACACACACACGCATACCCGCCCTGTGTTTACCGAGCAGCAAGTAGGAACCCGGTTGTTTAGTCGATCGGCGGATCGCTTTTCCGGGGGTAATAATCCCTTCCCCCCCAAAAAACTATAATAAATGGGTCGCTTCAATCCACGACCGTTTGTGGGGACACCGCTGTGCGCAATTGGCTGCCGCGTTTCGCCCACAAACCACACACGTCAGTTCGCTTGACAGTATATTCTGTAACGCGCTTTGAGGTGACTCGAAGACGTGATAAGACACTGTATCAAATGCACAGGTTATTATTATTATTATTATTTATTATTATTATTATTATTATATAGCGCCCCTTACACAGGGTAGTGTTCTAGGGCGCATCCCCAAGGCGGTGCATTGCAGACCGTAACAATTCTCTGCGTAAAAAAACGTCTCCTTATCTCCTCGCCGGTTCTTTTGCCAATTAGCTTGAATCTATGTCCCCCGGTTACTGACCCACCTGCCAGCTTAGTTAGTTAGTCAGTCAGTCAGTCAGTCCGTTAGTTAGTTAGTCGAGTGTTGTGAGCATTTACACGGTCAATTCACTCGACAGTGCATCACGTGAAGCGCTTTGAGACGTCTCGATCACGCGATAATCCGCTGGTATGGAAGGCAGGGGTTGCTGTTGTTATCGATCGGTCACAGTAATCTGTTCCAACAGATCATTTATTACTCTGCCGATCGAGTCTTTGATGACAACCTGCCGCCTGAAATGAGAGGACGGGTGCATTTCAGCTCCACTGACCCCAAGACCGGAGATGGGTCCCTCAACTTCACCAACCTGAAGCCCTCCGACAACGCCCTGTATCACTGCAAAATCAAAAAAGCCCCAGGTCTGGGCAGCAAGAAGATCAAACTGGACGTCTTAGGTAAAGGGCTTGACATGGTAGTGTTAGGATGGCACTTCCCTCTCACCCTCTCTCTCTCTCTCTCTCTCTCTTTTCCCCCCCCTCCCTTTCCCCCCCCTCCCTCTCTCCCTCCCCCACTCTCTCTCTTTCCCTTTCTCTCTCCCTCCCTCTCACTATCTCTCTCCCCCATCCCACTTTCCCTCTTCTCTCTTTTCTCCTCTCTCTCCCTCACTCTCTCTCTCTCCCTCCCTCTCTTTCCCTTTCTCTCTACCTCCTTCCCTCTTTCTCTCCCTCTCTCTCCCCCTCTCATCCCCTCCTTCCCTCCCTCCTTCTTTCCCACTTCTCTCTTTTATTCTCTCTCTCTTTCTCCCTCACTCGCTCCCTTCCCTCTTCGACTGCGCTCACGGCCACCTCCCCTTTCTCCCTTCCTCGACTTCCAACACTGCCGTTGTACAGCTCTTCGAGACTCCTTCACATGTAACGCACGCACGCAAAGTATTATATTTTTGCTCGCAGCGTACAATGGGTTGCCCTCTATCTTCGACAGGCCACGGTTTAGACTGGGGGTGAGTGGGTGAGGGGGTGTATGGGGGCAGCGCGCAGTGGGGGTGGGGTGGGGAGAGACGAAGCCTGGTATTTTAAACCGCACGACGTCCTGCGCCCAGCTTCTTTGGGAACGTTCCTCCTGCCGTGAAAGGCGCGATACACATGCAATTCGTCGTGTATTTTCCGTCCTCTCAGCGAAGCCTTCAATCCCGAGATGTCACGTGGACACGAGTCAGGAGGTCGGGAAGGACGTAGCGATGAAATGCTCGTCGGAGGAGGGGACCGCACCCATCAGCTACACGTGGTCAAAGCTTGGACACGGTCAATCCCTCCCTCCAAAGGCAACTTCAGGTGTGTGTGTGAGTGTGTGTGTGCGAGTGTGTGTGTGTGAACTGGCTTTCGAGTTTGAAAGCCATTTCGCTGATAGTCCGGGCGAATAACGGTGAAGGCTGACTTGACGTGGCCTTGAAGCTAAGACCATGAGAAGCTTAAACAGAGGCTGTAACAATGCGAGTGGTTGAGTGGTTTGTGGGTGTGTGGTTGGTCCATGTATATGGTTGGTGTGTGCGAGGTTCGTGTGTGTGTGTGGGTGGTGTGCGTGTGTGTGATTGGTGTGTGCGCGGTTGATGTGTGGGTGGTGGTGTGTGTGGGGGAGGGGGTGGGTTGTGTGTGGTGTGTGCATGTGTGGTTAGTGTGTGTGGTGTATGTTGTGTGGTGGTGTGTGTGTGTGGGGGGGGGGGATGTGTGTGTTTATGAGGGTGGGGGAGAGAGACAGGCACAAACAACAAACATGTGCGCACACACATCCAGAGTCTCTCCATTGCCAAATACATTGAAATTGAGGCAGAAATTCCATTCCACGTGTGTGTATGGGGAGACTACAGAAGCTGAGACTGTTCTCCTTAGAGCAGAGAAGTTTAAGGGGAGATTTACTAGAGGTGTTCCGCTGGCCGGTGGGTTGGTAACCAGAGGACGTAGATTCAAGATAATTGGCAAAAGAGCTGGAAGGGAGACGAGGAGAATTTTGTTTACGCAACGAGTTGTGACAGCCCACAAAACGCACAGTCACTGCACTTCACGGTGTGTTCTGTGAAGCGCCTTGAGACGTCTCGAAGACGTGAAAAGGTCCTGTGTCAAATGCAAGGATTATTATTGTTACCGTCTGGAACGCACGGCCTGAAAGAGGTGGTGGAAACGGATTCGATAACAACTTTCCAAAGGGAATTACTCGATAGGTACACGAAAAGGAAACATTTGCAAGCTTATGGGGGAGAGAGTGGGGATTAATTTGGACAGCTCTTCCACAGAGCCGGCACGGGCACGGTAGACCGAATGGCCTCCTTCTGCGCTGTATAATTCTATGATTTCAGTGCGAATAGGGTGTGTGTTGTTTTTTAAGATATTTTATAAGGTTTGCGCCCAGTACATAAAGATTACACAGTCGGTGGGGTCAGGGCTTTGCAGGGCTCTGGTCAGGCTGCACCCTGTACAGTTCTGGTCACCGTGACACCGTGGCCTCGCTCCCAGGTACTAGAGACGGAGCAGAGCAGTGAGGATGATCCTCAGTGTTCGAGGTTCTGCGCTGTGAGGAATGAAGAGAAAAGCTGAGGCTGTCACAAGCTGAGTCATAGATTCTGGTGTGTTTATACTTGTGTTTGCCCAGCCGGGGGTCTGACACACACGAAACCCATCGCCGTTGCTTAAGAGTCTCCAAACCAAGCTGAGAATTCCATGCCATCCCACCAACACATGGAAATCCCAGAGATAGGCTGTTGGAATGGAATACTCTCTCTCTCTCTCTCTCTCTCTCCCTGGAGAGAGGGATGCATTCCTGTTTACCTAATTCCGGAGAGTATCAGGCATGAGTTGTCAAGAGCCAAGGTTTGGGGGGGACCTCAGAGTGTGCGTTGGGGTAACTGCTGTAGTCTAACCGGCTAAAACCGCATAGTTTTCCTCTTCGACCATGTCATCGGCCACCCCCCATCACACAGAGGATACAGTTCAAGATCCTGGTCCTCACCTTCAAAGCCCTCCATGGTTTTGCTCCCCTCTACCTCTCCGACCTCCTAAACCATCCTGCTCCCTCCCTCTGCTCAGCGGGTTCCCGCCTGCTTCATGTCCCCCGCCTCGCTCGCCCCCCTATTGGCGGGCGGGCATTCCGCCACTCTGCCCCCACCCTCTGGAACTCCTAACCGCAGTCCTCCACCTCGCCCCCTCCCTTGCCACCTTCAAGACCCATCTCAAGACCCTCCTCTGCAACCGCGTTTCGATCTCCCTGCTTTCCCCCTCCTGCCGTTCACCCTCCCCGATCCCAACCCCCAGCTCGGGTCCAAAACTCTGCCCAGAGCCTCGGGACGTCCTCCCGACGTGAAAGGCGCTTTACAAATGTCATTTTGTTGTTGTTGTTGATATCTGGTTTATAACTTAATCGAGTAACAGAGTGATATTGTTTTCTATAAACTTCGGAATTTTACACGCACCAAAGAACGTACTCTCACTTAGAGGAAATCCTTTTAATAAAGGTCACCTTAGTCCAGCGACCTCGAGCGGCTGCTGAAAACAGGCTCGACTCTTAATGCTTTCTCAGTCTCTCGCTCTATTCCCATACAGATATCAGCACCGGAACTCTGCTGGTGAAAAATGCCACACAGGCTTACTCAGGGGACTATTTGTGTGTGGCTCAGAACAGGGTTGGCAAAGCGCAATGCATCGTGAAGTTGTCAGTGTATCCTCGTGAGTATGGCAAATACATTTTCAGTTCAACAAGCGTCGTCCCCTATCCCCCACCTCTCCCCCCCCCCACCACCCTCCACTTCGGCCGAGTTTGTTCCCATGTTAAAGTGGAGTCCTCTAATGTGTTGGTTAGAGAGCTCGCCGTGCGAGCGAGAGGACCCAGGTTTGATTCCCGGGCGGAGAGAAACCTTAGGCAAGTTTCCTTACTCCACACACACACACCTCATAGCTTGCCATTGATATTGCTGTCTGGCAAGCTTTCCCACTAGCTAGGACCACCCTACCTACCCCTTAGGACTTTGGGTTGCGGGGTTAACAGGAGCTGAGTGGGAGGATTCCCTGCCCCCAGTGACCAAACTTGAGAGTCCCATGTTTCCCGTCTATACTGTGGAAATCCCAGGGATAGATTGTTGGGATGGGTGTGTGGGTTGGATGTGTGGGATGCACTCTCTCCCCGATGGGAACGCCTCCTGGTTACCTAATTCCGTTATTGTATTGACAGTGGGGGGCTGCTGTTGAGCACTGCGATACTAACCTTCGCCTCTTGATCTGATTATCTGTAGCCTCCAACACCGCCGGTAAAATAGCCGGAGCCATCATCGGCGTGATCTTGGCCTTGCTGATAATCGCCATCATCGTCTGGTGTATCCTGCGGAAACGGAAGGAGAAGAAGTTCGAGAAGGAGGTGTCCCATGAGATCAGGTAACGTTCTTGTGTGACAATTTCTTTTTCTCTCTGGGCGAAGAAGTATAATAATATTCATAATAATCCTCGCTATTTGACATATTTATCAGGCCTTCGAGAGGTCTCAGAGCGCTTCACGGAATATAATATAATATAATCCTTGCCTTTGATATAGCGCTTTTCACATCTTCTCGATGTTTCAAAACGCTTCACAGAATATACTGTAAAGTGTAGTGACTGTGTATTTTGTGGGCAAAACGAGGCAGCCAATTACCCACAGCAGCGTCCCCGCAAACAGTCGTTTCTTTTTTCAAAAAATCTTGAAGGGATTATTAGCCCCCGGAAAAGTGATCCGTCCTCCGACTCAACTACCGGTTCCTAAATAAAGATTTAAGCCAGTGTGGAGAGCCCCGTGACCTGTTGAGTGAAATGAAAAGCTTTAGGAGGAAGGCAGAGGGCTGGAGGTAGAGTCTTCCAAATTTCGGGGCGTCAGTGGCTGAAAATGCGGAGGAAATGCGTGGGGGGGGACTAGCAGCCAGCCGAGCGGAGGCAGCGAGTAGTAGGTTGTGGAGTGGGCAAAAAGCAGGTCGGAGAGGTAGGGAGGTGCCAGGGCCTGAGGGGATTTGAAGACGAGTGAGAGGATCTCGAAATCGATCCGTTCTGTGATAGGGAGCCAGTGGGGTGGCCGGCGAGGACTGGCGTGATGGGGGTTTAGAGTGGGTGAGTATACGGGCGGTGGAGCTGGGCAGACGGGCGAGGAAGGCATTGAAATAGTCGAGGCGGGAGGTGACGAAGGCGTGGACCAGAGTTTCGGCTACGTTGGGTGTGAGGTCGGAGGCGGGCAATATAAACGCAATTGCCGTTACAAACATAAACGCGAGTTGTTGCTGTTGTAACTTGTGGTGAGAAATGGTGCCCCCGAGTGGTATCTTGTGGAGTCCTGTAGCTCAGCGGTTAGAGCGCTCGCCTCGCAAGCGAGAGGACCCGGGTTCGATTCCCGAGCAGGGCGAAAAGTTGAGCAAGTTTCCTTACTCCGCACACACACACACACATACACGGTCCTCTGTTTACCCAGCAGGAGGAACCCGGTTGTTAGTCGATTGGCGGATCGCTTTTCTGAGGTGTTAGGTTTCTGGGGAGAACTACCGGATTACCTTAGCCAAAAGATCGAGTTGACAATCCCAATATGGGTGGTAAAGAAGGTTTCATTGTGACATTTGTAGAATCAGTCGTATACACAACACATAAGTCGTAATTAACAGAACCAAAACGATATCATCGGTCCCAGCATCGCGGGCGGCCCCTTGAAGTCACCAGGTCATCCCGAGTTCTGCTGAGAGGTATTAGCTTGGCGAGCTTCCTTTATACCCTGAGATAAAAATGTTAATGCCTGTTGTTCCACTAAGCCCCTCCGTATTCAACTTCTCTTTCTTCTCTCCAGTTCTTGTTAAATCGTAAAACTTTTCTATCTTATCTCGATGTTCCTGTTAGATCACTCAGTTGAGTCAGGGTACCCTGCAGACCAGCTGTGCACGCCTTGCGAGTTAAATCACAAACCGGTGTCACGTACCAACTCGTTAACCTCTTTTAAGTGGAGTCCTGCAGCTCAGTGGTTAGAGCACTCGCCCTTGCAAGCAGGAGACTTGGGTTCAATTCCAGGCAAAGGGCGAAACCTTGGGCAAGTTTCTTACTCCACCCACACGCCAAAACAAATAATCTCTCCAAAACAAAACAATAATAAGTTGGTCATTTTCAATCCACGACTGTTTGTGGGACACTCTAAGCGCAATTGGCTGCCACATTTCTCCCACAAATATACAGTCAATTCACTTTATTCTGTGAAGCGCTTTGAGACGTCGAGAAAACGTGAAAAGCGCTATATCAAATGCAAGGATTATTATTATTATTATCCCCGCTAGCCCACAAAATGTATATGTTTTGTAAAATACAGTTAAATCGCTATATTCTAACAGAGGGTACTAATATCTTCAAAATAATAATAATAATAATTTGGGCGCTCAATCCACGACTGTTTATGGGGACGCTGTTGTGCGCAATTGGTTGTCGCATTTCGCCCACAAAAATACACAGTCATTAGAGTTAACTGTGATGCGCTTTGAGACGTCTCAAAGACGTGATAAGGCGCTACATCAAATGCAAGGATTATTATTATTGTTATTATTATTATCTCTTCCTTCCTTCTCACCCAGAGAGGATGTTCCTCCCCCGAAGAGTCGAGTCTCCACAGCCCGCAGCTACACAGTGGACAGCCATCGTTCCTCGCTGGGCTCCATGTCTCCCTCGAACATGGAGGTGTACAAGCCTCACTACGACAGGTTGGCCACGGAGGACATGGAGAGGCCACCCAGCCACAGCCCTAGCCACAACCCCAGCCGCAACCCCAGCCTCAACCCCAACCTGTTGGCTGGGTACAAGGTAGCTGTTCCGAGCCTGAATCGGATGGGCGCCATTCCAGTCATGATCCCAGCACAAAACCGGGACGGTTACATTGTGTAAATCGCAGCCCAGCGTCTCGTGAAATGTTTTATATATATATACACACACACACGTGCACACACGCATTATACACACATGATGCCACGGGACTTTTAAATTAAGAGTCAACTGTGTTAGGCTGTCTGCCAAACCAGTACTCGACACTGCTGTACGTGGAATACAAGCACACACGCACACACACGCATACGCACCACATACACACACCATGCACTGTTACATTCTGTTTAAGCTCCTCATGGCCTTAGCTTCAACGTTACATCAGCCAGCCTTAACCGTTGTTTGTCAGGAATATCAGAGAAATGGCTTCCAAACTAGCAAGCCAGTTCACTTTCCCCCCACCCCACCCCACCCCATCCTCGCCCCCATTCCCTCTCGCTCTCTTCTCCCAACACCCGCCCCAAAACATAACACTACAGCAAACCAGCTTCAGATTCGAAGCTGGATATGTGAATTTTCTGTTATTCTGCCTTGACCTTAAATTTTTTTAAGCGATTTCTTGAGCAATTTCAGGCTCTCCGACTTTATTATTGATATAATACAACTATTCAGAAAAAGTTAAATGTGAAAAAATTCGTACATATATTATTTATGATACATATATTATATGTAGCGCCCTGGGATATCTTTCCGACGTGAAGGGCGCTACGTATGATTGTTGTTGTGGTAAAAGTATATACACAGGGTGACAAAAAAGTCGTGATAACTACCCTATTGCCTAAAATCAAACAAAACTAGCATCATTCCTTTAAGACTTACCAGCTGTACCCGTTGCAGCTTCGCTTGCGACCAAAGGATCCAATATGGAATGTAGATTTCAGTGATGATGGGCCCCATCTGATTCCTAGTCTCTGCCTGGATCGTAGTTGAACGCAGCTAAATGGATTGACCTCTGCTGCCGGGCTTCGTTTTGCCGTGTTCTTGCAGTCCTTTTTGCGTCGAAGTCCAACCGTGCTGTTCTTTCTTCTTCAGTATCATTTGATCGGCCTTCTCTCTTTCGTCTGGCGTTTTTATTTGACCTTGAAAGGCTTGATCTTCGCTTCTTAGGCATCTTTATCCCTTAAGATTAAGAAAATGTGCCATTGGGAGGACTCAGTGGGAGGTCTCAGTGAGAGGACTGCTGTGGGAGGTCTCCTGGTTGAGAGGACTCCTGGTTGAGAGGACTCCTGGTTGAGAGGATTCCTGGTTGAGAGGACTCCTGTTGGGAGGATTCCTGTAGTGAAGACTCCTTGTTGGGAGGACTGCCTTGTTGGAGTGCATACATGTGCGATGAGCTTGTTTAGGTTATAGCTCATCAACGATAGGAAATCCCCCAAACAAAATATGCCCACGACACTCCCCCATGCGAGACCTTTCCGATAATAGAAGTCACGTCTCTACATCAATCGTTTTTTGTGTTATTGGCAGACAGACAGACAGACAGAGAGACAATTTGTCTTTATTAGTATAGATTAGATATTTTAATGGTATCACAACTTCTTGGTCACCCTGAATATATATATATATACATATGTATGAATTTTTCAGATTTAACTTTTTTTTGGATGCGTTTTCAAGACGTTTTCGAAGATGTCTTTTGTTCCCCTTCCACTAGATGTCACTATCGCACTTGTGTTTCCAACAGGCAGTGTTGACATCTACTGGTGGGATTGAGGTGTTGTACCCTAAGGTGCAGTTCTTTCGCAAAGAGGGGAGTTAATAACGGATTTTTTTTAAGCTAAAAGCACTCTCAACGACTTGGAATTTTTTTAAAAAAAAATCTCCTTTTATTTACACACACACAAACAAACAACACCCACCCCCTACCCAGATCCCTGACAATCCCTTCCCCAAGAACGAGTGATTTCTCTCTTCCCGCAACCACTCAGCTCCACCATGTCCTGGGCTTGTCAGTAGCTTGCAAAATGCTAGCTGTTCGTTCAGCTTCGGGACCCTTTTGGCCGCTTAACAAAGCGCTCAAGGCATTGGAGCCCAACGTGAGGTGGTGGGTGGTTCCAGCAGAGGATAGGACAGGCTCGGCGGGGAGATGCAAGAAACTGCTGAGCGCTCAATCCATCAATGTTCAAGCTAATTTCCTCTTGAGGACTTCCAGCATGGGAGGGAGGGAGGGAGGGAGGGAGGGAGGGGAAAGGAACCCCCATAATGGGAGGGCGAGAGAAAGGCAATGTATGATCAAAACGTACTAAAGCTCGTGTGGTTCATGTGATGTTGTTTGCCTTGTTTGGATAAGGTCTTCTCAATAACTCACGTTACTTCACTGTGATGCACTCCTGTGTGTGTGTGTGTGTGTGTGTGTGTGTATGCGTGCCTAGCATAATGCGAAGGAGATCTTGGTGTTTGTGACTACAGGGTGACCAAAAATGTCGTGATATCTACCCTATTATCTAAAAAAAACCCAAATATCATCATCTCTTTTAAGACCTATTAGCCATTGATTGTAACGGTATCGTGACTTTTTTTGGTCACCCCGTACAAGAGCTTGACTTGCATTTCCAGTCAACTTATGGGATGAGCGGTGGTGGGGTAAGTTGGGAGAGATATTGGGCAATTTGGAGTGGGGGAAACCTACCAAAATGGCTACATGTGGTCACTCGTTGTCTCTCTTAGTGAGTTGAATCCTACACAGTGGTGAATCAGTGAGGTATTACTGTGTGCGCGAGCAATGTATCGTATCCTTGTTTCTGTGTTGCAGTGAGTAGGTAATTGTGTTTGACATTGAACTTTTTTTTGGGAGGGGGGAGTTGCATAATACTTTTTTGGGGGCTGGGGGGTGGAGGGGCTGTTGGTAGGACAGATGCTATCCCGCATTCTCTTTCCCCCTTCCCCACCTCATGTCGGGTCCTGTGTTTGAAGTCTTTACGTCCTTCGTGTTTCCCGTGTTCCTATGTTTCCTACGAGGCACACTGTTTGAGATGGCTTGTGTTGACGTGATGGAGGGTGGGTGGATGGGGTGGGCGGGGGGGGTGGGGAAGGAGGTAATCACGAGTCAGCGTATCAATTGCCGCCAGGCTGGAGATATCGGGGATGGTTTTAGAGAAGGGTGATCCAACAGGCATCTGGCCCGAGACCATTTTCAACTTCGGATCCCTCCCTCCCTCCCTTCTCTCCCTCCCTCCCTTCTCTCCCTTCTCTCCCTCCCTCCCTTCTCTCCCTCCCTCCCTTCTCTCCCTTCTCTCCCTCCCTCCCTTCTCTCCCTCCCTCCCTTCTCTCCTTCCCTCCCTTCTCTCCCTTCCTTTGTTATATTCTTTTTCCCTCCCCCTTCCCCCATCCCACCAGTTGCCTCGCTTCCCCCAAACTTTTGTTTATTTTGTGTCTTGCCCCCTGCCCCCCCCCCCCCCCCCCCCCCACACCGCTCCTGTTTGGGTTTGCAGTGTATAGACCAGCAAGGGAAGTTCTTTCGGGTTAAGTCGGGGTCTGCGAGTTAGTCACGTGCTGTGTTGAGCTGGGAAAGGTGATTGGAGAGGGTGATGAGTTGGGGAGAAGGGAGAAAAGGCCACGGATGGAATTGTTGAAATTCCTAACATTCCCAGATCAGCTCTGGCATGTGTAAAAGTTCTCACCTCTCCCTCCCTTCCAACCCCCCCCCCACACTCCCCCCTCTCTATCTCTCTCTCGCTCTATCTCTACCTCTTCCTCACTCTCTATCTCTCCCTCCCTCTCTGTCTCAGTCTCTGTCCCTCCCCTCCCCTCTCTGTCTCTATCTCTCACTCTGGCCGTTACGAACTGGTTCCTTGCTCGATCAAGTGATTAATCGGTGGCTGTGAAACCTTCCTCCTGATTTTTTAAGACAGTTGGTTGAGTTTAGTGTAGTTTAGTTTGATGGCAGGACCGATCGCTCAAAGTCTTTCATCCTCTCTGACCTCCTGAACCAATAGTGTGTGGGGGGGGAGAGGAGAGGGGGAGAGAGAAGAAGAGGAGAGAGTGGGGGAGAGGCGTCAGAAGCTTTGGAAGGGTTACATCCGGAGCCATCTTTACGCCTGTTAATTTGCGCTTTGAGTAAAAGCTGACGGGGACGGGATGTTGGTGTGAGATGGCCCTCAGCGCCCAGCACGAGGAGGGGATATTTCCTCAGGGTGGATGGGACAGGATTGGGGTGGGGGAGGGAGAGGGAGAGGGGTTTGGATCAGATACTTACTGGAGCGAGCGAGGCAGGGTTTTATCGCCCGCTCCTCTGTTGCATGAGAAGTCACGTGCAGTGAGTGAGTGACCTGTGCAAGCAAAACACGGGAAGGAAGGTTCCACCCTCTTCACTCTTTCCACCTGCCCCCCCCCCCCCCCCGAAGGATCGCAGGGATTGTCGGCCAGGACGCTTGAGAAAAAGCTCCCAAACAGCCCCGTTTTTTTGAATCCAATAAAAATTTGTGCAGAGAGGCTACGTGGATTCCCAGGCGCTGAACCCTCACCCTAACCCCAATTACAGGGACGGGTTCCACTCGAAGGAACAGTCGCTTTCTGTCTAATCCCACCAGGACTCAATTTAAATGACACTCCCCTTCCTCACCTCTACTCCCCGCCCCGCCATGCTCCTCTTTTTCTACCCCCCCCCACCCACACACCCACCCCACACACCCACCCTTACGAAAGTTCTCCCGTTTGACCATTACGCTCCTTTGTGTCGCAGTCGCAGCGGCTGATGATTCACCACAGCCTGTCTGACGCGTCCGAGATGACGTGTACGTTATCGGGTTGGGGGGGGGGGGTCGAGTGGGGGGTGGAAAAGGGGAAGAGTTTTACACGCTTCTCTGCCCCCTCCCCCCCCGCCCCCCTCTC